AATATTCATATAAAAATGGAAAAATGACGTTTGCTTCTTAACAAGCTAAGGGAAAAGATGATTCTACGCGGAACGATAAACGAGTCGATCTCAGGAGAATTCTGGAATGTTTTGTTCTTCAAACTTTCAGTTTGATGTGTAGTATCTAAAGAATATTGTTGTAGCATCGAAACTCGATCGTTGAAGATCGACTCTTTTGATCGCTCGGGAGAAGTTCGCAAATTCGTTTAACACTAGAAGCACCGAACGGTACGAGGCATATGAATTATGAAAATAGAGTTCAATGATTTCGGTAAAAATGTCCAAAAGGAGTGTATTTTAGTGATCGGCAGATTATTTTTGCAGGTATTCGTACAGTGAATATCAGTCTTTGAAAAATTGAATATTAAAATAACAGCACACACGAATCTACAAGAATCGCCTGTTGAGTGCATAAAAAGAATGTAAAGTTTGATGAATGGCGTGACTTTTGAAGATAAAAATCGAAACGAGTCCTTGAGATGCCTACTCTTGGCAGTTCTAGTGTTAAATCGGTACAAACTGTGTATAATTGGTCCACGGAAATTTTAATGTCTAGCGTCGATCGTTAAATACGGCCGATCTCGACAGATTCGTGTATTTAATGTGTATCTAATCGGCCACTCGTTACCCTGCGCGATAACGTTACAGAGAATTGCTACAGAATCGGTGCTACTCGTTAAGTATTTCCCGACACTGGGCAACTACGATACGATTGATAACCATACACCATAAATACGATCGCGATTAAACAGATTAAAAAAGGATACGACGGCGCGTTCTAATTGTCCGGCGTTGCTGAGAAATACAAGAGGATCGTCGATTGTTCTCGTTATAAATGCAACAGTATCGAAATTCAGCGTCGATACAAACGGTTGGAAGATCATATAATTATTATTGTCTATGCAGTAAGTCTATAAGGTGCTTCTCAGGTAACCGATTCTCTGGAGATTATTCTGTATAAATCACCAGCGATATACATCTTAGCTTTATTTACGCGTTCTCTTTCCCAGAACAAGGCACTTTTAATTACCCTTATCGATATATTATCGAACCGCGGATCGTTTATGCAAGTTCACGAGTTTTAAACGTTGATTCGTGTAGAAGAGAATCCGATGGAATTGTATTCCTCGCAAAACAAAAATCCTATTATGCCCATAGCAATACGGATAGCATTAACTTCAGTCGATAACTTTATTTCATAAAATTATTCAAGTCGTGTGAGATTATGAACGCATAAAGCTCCGCAGCCAACGATTACGCTTGGAATGATAAGTAATTTCGTGTCTTCACGGTGACCTTTCACCGATGCTTTTTAGTGACGTTTCAAGATCGTGAAACCGACGTAAGATCAAAACGAATAATAATAAAAAAAAGAAGGAATATCTAACGTATAAAAGTACTAGAAAATATAGGGGGAGGGGAACTCTACGATACGGAATTTGCTGAATTGGTAACACGTGATCGTCAATTTCGTTACGACGAGAGTGAAGCGAGCCCGCTCTGATCCGCAGCGTACCCTCAGAAATTTGTTCCTTTGCACTCGCAGTTTAAGTCGATAATAATCCTGAGACTCGAAACGAAAGAAAACAGTGCGTGCGATCGCTTGCGATTCGTTGGAATGTTTGTTCGTGGGTACGATCGTCATAGAAATTGAGCCGTTCGAGCTAGCTCGATTCGAGTATACAATAATATGTTCGTTCGACACATAAAAATGTAAGGTGTGCTTAATAAACCTAACAAACAATTCCTACAGGATTGAAAAGCAAAAACGAAAATAATAATAATAATAATAATAATAATAATAATAATAATAATAATAATAATAATAATAATGGGAAATATACCTTTAAATAAAAGTAGACAGATTGAGATTATGTACACGTAGAACCGAAATACCACGATTAACTCTTACACTGAGGTAATAAACTCGAGAAATGGGAGATTATCCTAACCATTCTACGATACTTCGTAAGTAACGACTTTAAATACGCTTACATCTCTAAATCGCGCAAAAGGTGTCCAAACTGAAAGAAAACACGTTTCGACAGTTCGGAGGTAAGTAATGCTCGCGTCGAAGCGTTCTCGTTCTTCCGTTTGTTATATACATCGATTGAGAATCCCGATTTATAGTACAGTCCTACTTATTCGAGGGTTTAACACGTTTCGTGCTGCGTGGGATGGAAATAGAAAGAAAAAAAGAGAAAGGTATCGTTCAACGATCCTTCTTCGTTCGAGTTTTCAACTGAAATCGGGGAAACGCTGGATTCTCTGGAACTTGACTTAAATATTTCCCATTACGGGAATGTCGATTAATGGCTAGAAAGTAAAAGACAAATATATTACATCGATCTTGTCAATACTGCATCAGTTTGAATACAACCTTCCTATTTACATACTCACCGTGAAGAATTTTCGATTCATCGTTTTCAAATATTTTACACGACCATTAAATGATAATCTCGAAACTCTATTAAAGATCTCTATATCACATCATCCTTTTACAGCCAAGAAAACAGAATCACTTCGCAAAACTTCCGGACACCCAGCGTTTCCCGACGCAATTGCACCGACCTAATCGTCCTCTGAAACGTACAGCCTCTTAGAAGTTGGCTAAAACCAAAACCTGCATAAAGCCAACAATAATCGTTCGCTCGCGATGCTCGATTATATAGTTGCTTCACGATAACCCATTCTCCCTGTATAACTGTATGGACAGCATTCTCTTTAAAACCATTTTCTTTGAAAACAAAACGACGTCACTAATATCATTACTAGCTTAACACGAACGCAGCACGATTTCATACAGTAAAATACATAAAATAAAAAAAAAATATAATGTAATATAAAACATAATGTCACTGTATTATGTAGCATTATTTATATCATAGAAACATTTTCATATAATCATCGTTTCATCAAGTGACCTATAGTAATTCGATTTGCTCGAGGTTCACCGGTGACCCTCATGACATTCAACGTGTTAAGATTCAAGTTCGTACGCGTACGCACGTCTACTGTATGATCAACGTTTCCCCTTCCGTTTTTCGAACATTATATCATTATATTGATAACAACTACCATAGACAACGAGCGAAACGATTCCATTCACCCTCATACAGTCTCAGCTCATAATCGTCCAACTCTTTAGAGGCCAACTTCTCATACCCTAACACACCAGGCAGCACGGAACACGTTAAGTCAGGAATGCAGAATAATAATTCGTAAAACTTATCGCGTGAATTTCCAGGACGATCGTGCCAACGTCGGAAGTCGGAAGACGCGGGGTAAGCGCGGATTAGGCGCCCTCGTCATAGCCGATTTTCTGATGGTGTCGTTTGTAGTGGACGGTCAGGTTTCCCCTTTGCCTGGCCTTGTACGGGCACTCAGGGCACTGAAAGGCTGGCGGCTTGCCGCCGCACTCGACCATCTCGTGGCGTCGCATCGTGCTCTTCCATCGGTAGCCTTTCCCGCAGAAGCGACACCTGAACTTCCGTTGTTGCTCGTGGGGCACGCCCATGTAGACCACGCTCAGGTCCCTAGGCTGCGGCAGCACCTCGAACGAGTCCGGGAACACGACCTCGCGGGTGGACGCTGTCCGCGGGTTGTTATCCGTCCCGCTGTCATAGCTGTTGCTGTCTCCAGCGTTGCTGCTAACCCGGCGACCCGCGACGACCACGCTTCCGCCTCTGGACCCGGCGCTCGCCGATCCGCGTCCACCCTTCTTCCCCGTCTGATGTTGTTTGTAATCGGACCGCAGCAACGACAGCAACGCAACCATCCCTGCAACAGGTCCCAGCGCCAAGCGAGACGCGAGAGCGAGGCAACAAAGGTTATTTAATAAAAAAAAAGAATGTTAAAGAAACCGTAAAAGAACGTAAGGTGAAACGTAAAATAATTGTTTCTGAGGATCGGATATTTTGGAATGGAGGACGCGGGAAGGAAGGGAGGAGGAGGAGGAAGAGGAGGAGGATGGCGTTTCTCCTTGATCGATGCACGGGTGATGGTTGTTATGCGACTGGCGAGAGAGATCAGTGTGTGATTAAACCCGTAACCAACCCAACACATAAACGTAATTCAGCCAATAGCCCCGAGAGATAGGTGCGCCCAGGGTAAAATTTTGCCGTGGTTTTACGTGAAGAGGCGTGAGGTTCTCCCGGGTTCCGAGGAAAGATGGAAAGACGATCTTCTTGATAAGTAAATGAGAATCGAAAGGGGACGATAAAGGTAAAAATAAGAGAAAAACAAAACACAATTGCAAATTAAAAGTTAAATGAAGAAGAGGAGAGACGATTGTTCTATTTTCAGGTCTTTTCATCTTCCCTGAGCACCGGTCGTAGATGAAAATAAAGATGCCAGTTTCCAACCCTCCAAACAAATTAACCAAAACAGGGATGCTTCGGTGGATGATCGCAGGATGATTCTCGCTTCGTAGACGTTCAGAGAGATGAATGAATGTACAAGTATCGTTATGATCGTAGAAATTCGACTGTATATATTATACACAGGGTAATGGTTTGTATATTTATATATCACTTATTTCTCTTGTTGTTGTGCTTTCGTGTAACTCGCAGTTAATCCCGATCGACAATGACGGATTAGAAGAGTACCGCGTCACGTCAAGCTGCGTTAAGGTCGATTCTATAAACGTAGAAACGGTAAAAATGGTTCGCGATAATGTTACAGACTATCCATCCACTCGGTGAATTCTCTTTGGCAAACGTCTGACAGATCTGTGTTACTCCCTTTTCGCAGACACACACATCGAACGTGAAATTTTTCGGGAACTTCTCGATCTCGAGACTACAATTCGATTTGGGAACGGTTCCTTCGAAATGCTCGCGAAATCCTGAAACAAAAGCGTCGAGTTTAATCTCTTCCGATTAAACTTCCGAAGAAACTTCCGATCCCGATTCACGGGGGTGTTCTCCTGCAGAAGAAACGAACGATTAATCGATCGCAATGGAAATAGTACACAATTTATTTCGATCATTCCAGAATCATGGGGATCGATTATAGCGGGAGAAAGACACGAATACCTCTTTATTCGTATCGATTACAATATCAATGTACACCAACGATTAAAATGTTCAACCATCGTATTATTAACACTTCGAAGGTATTTTCTCAATTTCGTATTGACAGCTCTGGAACAACGGCGACGCCTCGATCAATCAGAAATGAAGAAAACACTTTTGACGATAATCGACGGAATGAACGTTTCACCGACAGTTTAGACACTGTATTCGTTGCTCACTGACAATTGGAATACCCAGAATATACATTTCACGTGATAAAACACAGAATCGTATCTTATTATACCAGCTATAAATTAGAAATTGTTCAGTGTCTCCTTTACTGGAAAAGTACTGTAAAAGTACTTTAATTATCGACGCGTATCTCCGTACAGTACAGCACTGCCCCGTTACAGGTCGCTAATCAGATCTTCGTTTGCGGTATTGATATGATTATTAGTTGCAAGGTTCACTGTCCAGCAAATGAAACTCGAAATGTTGAAATACCCCGTGAACCATTGAAAATACGAAAGTTAAAATTCCTATAAAATTTATTTGGTATGAAACGAGACATTACCTGATCCAAACAGCTCCTTTGTACATGAAATTTTCGAAGGAACATCAAACTCTATTTTTCTCAAACACATTGCAAGCTTACTCGCAATACCGATCACTTTAAAAAATCACTATTATCTTACGAATAAAACATTTAGACAATCTTTCATTTGAAGAAAAATAAGTTTGATCCTCGGAGCCTTCTCCACAATATAATACACGAGAAAAGAACTAGTCTATACAATGTCCCTTTTCAACGACCAATTTTGAAACAATGTTCTATCTTCAATGATTCCCAAGACGCTCCAACATTAGCGTACCTCTACATTCAATAAATTTACATCGACATCGGACAGTGCAGTTCCCGTGGCAGAAATGAGACAAGTAACGAGGCAGCCTGATTCTCCGTATCAGCCTATCAAAGGCCAGATTCACTTAATCGTGACGAGTATTTCGACTTGATCGGCGACAGGGCGTCGCTGCGCGGTTCTATTTGTTTATGTAACATTGTAGCAGCTTGCGGTGCTTGTGGGCGACGTGGGAGTCCAGATTGAACTTCCTCTTCGAGCTGAATCGGCAGTACGGACAGTGGAACTGCGGCAGCATGCCGCATTCGAGCTTCAAGTGGCGGTACAAGGAGGACGCGTTCGAGTAGATCTTGTGGCACTTGACGCACGGGTACATTCGCCGCGGCTTCCCGGTCGTCCTTGCCAAATGATGCAGCCGGAAATCTGCGAAAAATCGTGTGGTCAGCGGCGGTTGTCTGCGACGTCGACGGAACATTTTGTTGTGCGACTTAAAAAACGTTAGATGAGGAGAAGTCGGGGGGAAAGAAAGATGCTTCGGCTGCGTGACTGCGTTATTCGTTATGTGTTGCGTGTCGAGAAAGATTGTGATCGGAAAATACGATAAAGGATCCGGTCGGTCGTGTCATACTCACTCAAATCTCGATTCGATCGAGACGCCGAATCGCGAGAAAAATGAATGGGAATGAGAGACACCGAGAACATCGGGAGGACAGCCTGCAAAAGGGATCTGCAAAGATGTTCATTAACGACGATCCGTGTACCGTGAATACATTTTAGTCTCTTTGTATCAGAATAGAATAACATTTATTTCTATAAAAAGGTATCCTAAATAACAAGAAACGCCGCGAGGATCAATTGTTCACGTTGTAGAGCATTTTGTAGTGAATCTGTCGGATGAACTCGTCGTTGCCGGATGTCAGCAGGATCGGCCAACATTCCGGGCTCTCCCTGACATGTCGGTGAAGGGACTTCCGCCATTTGTACGACTTCGAGCAGGCCAAACAGGTGTTCCATTCTGAAAAAGAAACGCGTTCGTCTTGTCAGTGGTGTTCGGCACAGGGACCACCGTGTTTGTTGAGCGTGTGTTTTTAACTTCTCGCGATCGGACGGTGCACTTTGTGTTCTTTTCTTTTCTCTCAACCTTTTGCCTTATCGCTAAGTCGAGATTCTCCGCGGAATCTTTCTCTTTTTGTGTGTATAGTTTCTCGAGTGCAAAGATGGATGGCACGAAGGTTCCGGAAGACTGGGGAGAGAAGATTCTCGCGAACGAGAATGGAAAAGCGTTTAAATTAATCGAGAAATTCGTTTCTCATCGTATTACCAACCCTTTCTCCAACCAACGTCTACCATTAGTCTATACCAAACTATACGAAACATTTCACTGGACAATATCGAACTAAAAACATTCGTTTCTCGATCTAAATACTCATACGGAAGAGCTATTAATTTTCTCCGCGAGAAAGCTACGGAAATTCTCCGCGAAAGAGCAATCGCTACAGTTCCTCTTACTCTCTCGCAGCGTCCGTCTAATTGAGCTTGGCCAGCTCTCGGACCAACCAACGCAGATTTCTCGCGGAGTCAGCTGCGATAATCATTCTCCGCAATCTTCCAAAGCGCATTAGTTCCCATCTCGAACGCGATCCATGTAACACCGTGAAACTCCCTACAAGAAGTGTCGCGCCCATCCTCCAACAAACGTCCTTGGGAAAGAGCCGCGAGGAACCGTAATACAAACTCCGTAGTGTGACCAACTCCACGTATTAGACCGACCACTCAAGACATATCAGTAGCTTCTTAGTGGTTTTATTTACAAAGACGGTAATTGGGCATGCTTTGCGGAAGAAATGTACACTATTTTACAAAAAGAAGTCACTTTTGGAAAGGGAAGACACAACAGGGGGTTTCTCTTTGTTTTATATCTCCTGAAACCCGTTCCTAGAAACCGACGGTTACCGGTTTTGCGTTGCGGCTACACTGAACGCGTTTTCCAACGAACAAACATTTCAAGACCCTTATGTACACACTTTAAGGCATTCGTATACACGTTTGATTTGACGCGCTTTGAGCTTCGTTAAACTGGTCCTCGTTAAACTCGTCCGAACGCGCAGTCCGGTGTAGTCGCAGGTTTATCCGGTGCAATGGTCGGTTTAATCAGTTTCATCGCGTATCGATCGGCGCGAGTTTCAAACGATGAGACAGTCTCCGTTACATCCTCTTCAACCGTGCTTTTTTCGCATGTGTTTCAGTAAGTTGCAACGCAACTTGGTCCTCTTCGGACAATACGGGCACTGATGCTTCGGCGCCTGGCCGCATTCTTCCCTGATGTGCCTGGTTAACGAGCTGTAATACATGTACACGTTCCCGCAGGCCTTGCACGTGTGCAACTGGCTCCCGGTTAGGCAACCTGCAAAAAGAAATCAGATGGATCGATTAATAGAAATCAGACTCTGATCTGATTTTCGCCGATACCTGGATTCCGTCACGTGATCTGCGCCGACATGTCTTATGTTCCGTCGGGATACGTCACGGGACGTTCAAAGGATTCTTAGAGACTTACTTAAAGGATCTTTCGGCGATCGGAATTACAAAACACGTCCAATGGGCGTATCAAATCGTTCAGAGGAATATTTTCATCGAACATTAACCGTCGGAGAAGAGCAAGGAAAATCTTTTCCTCGGATTTTGTTTCAGCGACGAGAACCATCGGACTAAATACAAGCACAACGCAACTTAATACAATGTTACACGTGTGGGTCCTACACAGACGGAATAATGAACAGAAACAGGCAAAAACGAATAAGGGCCAATGGACAACACCGATTTCCGTTATACAACAATGATTAGCATTCGGTGGAATTCAGGTTTCGAATGGGACACAATTGAACGTGAATCGGATTGCAACTCAGCATCCAGCGCAAAGGGAAATTATTTGAATGATATTCACAAACTGAATCTTCGAAACGATACAATATCTTGACGTAGTGATTCGTAAAACTGGGAAATAAAGAGAAGTCCGTTTCCTCGAAGAGAATTCCAAATAAAATGCAAAAGTAAGAAAGAAAATGCAATGGAATTAGTTGCAACTGCTTCCTGATCGTGCCTGAACGGTCGCCGAACCTTAATTAATTCGTTCGAATGGAATCATTGTTAAATTCGGTGTGCACACACGAACATATTTGTCGGCGTTACACATCACGGC